ATAATAATAATTAGAAGATGCCCAGTTCTCAGGGTCTCCATGTACACCTTCCTGAGCCAGGAAGAATGCAGTATCTGCGTAGACTTGTTTGCCATGAAAGTAGATCCAACACAGGCATACTGAAGATTGAAAAGGGAATGATAACAGTAAAAACCAAGTGCCCCCTATGTGTGTGATGTTTCCTACACTAAGCTGGTCCCCTAAATTAAACATGCCATGTCAGGGAAGATACCACCTGAGAGGAAGAGCAGAGTACTTGTACTGCTAGATGATTTGTCCATCAGAGTCTGAGATGCTGACTGAGATTTTAGCATTTGCAGGGAGGGGTGCATAGCTCAGTGGTAGAGCCCTTGCCTAAGATGGACAAGGTCCTGGGTTCCACCCCAGCACTGCAAACAGAATGGGGAATGGAGGGAGAAGGTGCCTGCTTCATTATGACATGAATTTTTGTGGTATTGGGGACCCAACCCAGGGCCTCACATATGCTAGGCAAGTAACAAGCATCTTTTAACAGCTCAGAAACTATAAGCACGTCAGAATTTTTCCTTTCACTTCTTTTAGACATTTTTCTCCCATTTGTGCAAGTTTGTGACTTATAGATGAGTCCATATTTTTGCATCTGTTCTGTAAATCTAAAATTATTTTAGAATAGATTTTTTAAAATAAACTGTAGGGGAATATTTTCCATCACCCCACTTTAAGGAAACTTAAGTAAAACTGCAGAAGGGAAATCAAGAGCATTTCTGATGACCAGTCTTATTACACAGGGTTGAAATCTCTCAGTCATATTAACTAATGTCCATAGATTCATCTGAAATTTTTAATTTTTATTTGAAAATACAGGGAAGCAGGACATTGAATCAGGATAAATAAGCAAGTCAGCACCAAGGAAAGCGTGACCCCTGCTTTTTTGTACTCTTATTTTTCTTTTGGTGTACTAGTTCTGTCTTAAGATCTGAGACTCCAACACTGATTCTTCACATGCAGCCTGTTTCTACTTATTGCTCCCTCTGCCTCCGCCAGCCCTTCGTCTGCCTTGACAATCGTGATCATTAGACCTCTGTGGCAATGGAAATATTTAGATTGAGAAATTATGGCAATTTAAAACATTTTTGGTGTTCAGACCTGTCCTTCAAAAGCCTTATTATAAACCCATATCATTTTAACAAGTTTTATTGACAAGAAGGTGTTTTGTTTAGTAACTTGTGTATCAAAATGTAGCTGCATGAGAAGTTGACCTGGGCAGAGCAGTGAAGTCCTCTTCTGTTTGGCTGTCTGGGGAACAGAACCAGCCAGCCTCAATCTTGGCCCCCACTCTGTGTGACCTTACGTGGGCCGTTTCATAGTTCTTAGTGCTGGCCCCTCTCCTGTTTTATGGATAGAGATAGGTACTTTGGCATATTAAATGAGACGATATATGTACAGTCTTCAGTGTAATGCTTGGAATGTGATGGTGCTCAGTAGATGCTAACTGGTATTGGCAGTCATTTATACTATGGCATATAGTATGTTTTATTCCACTTGCCTGTCTAGTCTAAAATGAATTAAATGTCATAGTCAGTAATATGTCATTGTCCTGTGAGTAACCTTTACTGTTTTTCCAGCCAGTTGTTGTTTATCACAATCCTCTTGTCCCTCTAAATACTTGAAAAATATGTAATTTCAAAATACTTTCCTAATTTATATATAGTATGTTTTGCTAGACAGGTTCTTAGTGTTATTGTTTTATGAACTTAAATTGCTCCCAGATGAACCATTTATAATGAGCACTCATCTTTGTAGATTGTTCCCAATTTTACTTTTAGGAAATTTTATGTTTAGACAGTTAATAATTTAAAAAAAAAAAAAAAAACTTAAAATGGCATTATTAAAGCAAGGTGCTTTAAATATTGTCATAGTATGTTCATTCACTTGGTATGTTAGTATTGTTCCAGGAGAAACTGGGATCCATGTGTGGAGTGTCTTGTAAGAGTAGTCTGTCTGCTGTCAGGAGCACTGTAACCTGGAGGTCTAAATGCAGCTGTTTGTGTCCTCCACTCCAGACTGTTCCATTCAAAGCCCAGTTCTGAACTTGAAATGGAACCACAGTCTAACCTAGTTATTTCACTCCTCTGTGGAATGAATATATACACACACACACACACACACACACACACACACACACACACATACCCAAAGGCCTTAAAATCAGCATACTATAGTGATGCAGCCATATCAATGTTTATAGGAACTCCATGCACAATAGCTAAGCTATGGAACCAACCTAGATGCCCTTCAACAGATAAATGGATAAAGAAAATGGGGTATATATACACAGTGGAATATTACTCAGCCACAAAGAAGAATGAAATCTTGGCATTTGCCAGTAAATGGATGGAATTGAAGACTATCATACTAAGTGAAATAAACCAGTCCCCCAAAACCAAAGGCCAAATGTTTTTTCTGATATGCAGATGCTGACTTACAGTGGGAGGGGTGTTTACTAGATTGGACAGGGCAGGGAGGGGGGATGGGAATGGGAAAGACAGAATGAATTGGACATAACTTTCCTATGTTCATATATGAATACATGATCAGTGAAACTCCACATCATGTACAGCCAAAAAAAATGGATTACAGGTATATGCTACCATGCCTGGCTGGACAATTGATTTTTGCCAACAGGGAGGAGACAGTTCATTGGAGAAAGAATTGTTCCACCCCCTCTCCCCACCCCTGCCCCCATACTGGGGATTGAACCCAGGGCCTCACACATGCTAGGCAAGCACTCTGCCATTGAGCTATATCCCCAGTCCTTTTTATTTTATTTTGAGACAGGATCTTTCTCAGTTACAGAGGCTGACCTTCAGATCCTCCCGCCTCAGCCTACTGAGTTGCTGGGATTACAGACATGCACCACCACACCTGAGCTTAAGGATTGTCTTTTCTAGTTGTTGGAACAATTGAATATTCATACATAACAGCAAAATGAACTCCAATCCATACCTTGCACTAGATATAAGACTTAAAATAAATGAGAGTTATCAACGCAAAACCTAAAAACATAAAATCTCTGAAAGCACACATAGGAGAAAAAAATCTTGATTAGACAAAAATTTCTTAGATCCAGACACAAGTGATTCATGAAAAGATAATTTGGACTTCATCAAAATATGATAATCATTTCTTCGTTGAAAGACATTGTTAAGAATGAAAAGATAAGTCACAAACTGGGAGAAAATATTTGCAAATGACTTGTATACAGACTATATTAATAACTATGAAAACTCAGTTAATTTAAAACCCCATAAAAATGTGCATTTGAACAGACACTTCACTAAAGAAGGACATGGGTAGCTGTAAGTATGTGAATAGCAGCTCTGCGTCGTTAGCCAGAATACAAACTAAAACCACAGGGAGATACAAATACTGCACGCAAATTAGTGAAAGTTAAGACATGCTGACAATACCAGGTACTGAGGAGGATGTGGGAAAACTGGGGTGTAATATGCACAACCACTTTGAAAAACAGTTTAGCCATTTAAAAAAAAATTTTTTTGTACTTGTAGATAGACAGAATGCCTTTATTTTATTTTTTTATTTTTATATGGCGCTGAGGATCGAACCCAGGGCCTCACTCATGCTAGGCACACGCTGTACCACTGAGCTACAGCCCCAGCCCCACTTGAGCCATTTTTAAAAAGTTAGACACATAACATGCCGTGTGACCTCGCTGCATCACTGCTAGGTATTTGCCAAAGAAAAGGAGAAGCATGCGTCCATATGGACTTGTATACAGGTGATTCCTGAGGCTTTATTTGCCCCAAATGGTGTCTGTCAACAAGTCAGTAAACAAATTAGGGGACGTCCATATGATGGAACATTACTTACCAATAGAAGGAGCAATGAACTGTTGATATCTGCAGTGACATGAATAAAACGATTATTCTGAAAGAAGCCAGAGTTTAAAAAAAATAGTATGTGCTTATGTTTACATAAAATTCTGGAAAAGGCAAACTATTGTATAGTGACAGGTCTAATTGCTTAGAGGGCAGTGAGAAAGGTCAGGAAGAGGAGTTCCACAGGGACATACAAATTTCAGGTCATAGGTAAGTTCAGTGTCTTAATTGTAGCAATGATTGTATGGGTTCATGCATGTGCACGGCAAAAGTTTTCAAAATTGTGTACTTAAAATATGTATAGTTCATTGAATGCTAATTATCTCATTAAAGCTAAGGAATGTTATGCAGGGCTCTGCTCTGAGAGAGCCTTGTTAAAAGGTGGATAATACGGAACCCAACTCCTCATTCTCCTGCAAACTTTGGGCTTTAAAAGATGACTAGACACTAGATCAGTGCTTGACTCATCGTTCAATTTCTGTGACTTTTCTTGTCTTGTACTAGATTATAAACTCTCAGTGAGCGAGGCGCCATGTCTGCCATCATTTCACCAAGTCTTGAACTTGGCATGGGTATTTTAACATGAACAGGACCCCAGGGCTGGGGATGTGGCTCAGTGGTAGAACACTTGCCTAGCACGTGTGAGATTCTGGGTTCAATCCCCAGCACCATAAACAAATCTTAACAGTATACAAAATGTTTGGATAGATTTTAAATTAATACAACAGGTAACTGAATTAAGATACTGTTCAATGTGAATAAGGACTTTAAAAAGAACTGAGGAATTTGGCATCTACTCATTTGTCAGTTATGGTATTTACATGTTTAGAATTACATGGGAAATATGTAGAATTTTTCATTGTCTTAAATAATAGTGTCTGTATGTATGAAATGGTCTCTGAAAAGTGTTTCCTATAAGCACTGTAATGTAACTGTCACCCTTAATTCTTTGACTGATTTTAGAATGCAGTTCAGTCCTTGGGAAAATTGCTTATGTCATCAGTGAGGAATGCCACCAAAATAGCTTCTCACTTAAGTTCCCATCCCCAGAGCTAACCCACAGGAGGTTCCGATAAATTCAAAGATTTAATAACTCGTATTTTTCTTTCTCCTTCCACACAGGCCCTCTGGTCCTGGCGGCAGGAGCATGTGGTGGATTCTTGGCAGTCAGCGGTCTGTGGAGCTTTTGCAGGTGCAAAGGATTATATTATACTGGGAAAGACCAAAGAAGGGGAGAAAATGTGAAAATATTAACTATGCAAAAACAACATTCTTTAGAAATTTCAGATTGCTTAGATGAAGAGAGCTTCTCTGGCTGTTTGAGAAAAGAAAGTGTCTTGGGCGGGTGGGGGGGACCCAGCTGCTCAAGGTGTCTACCTGAAAGACAACCAATTTGTTTTTGACAAATTTTTCTTTTTTCTTTTTATCTTTATTAAAGCCTTCACTCAGGCTCTTGGATTATCTTAAAGATGATTTACAAAGTCCTCTGTGGGAAGAGGCTTTCTGTGGTGCAGGGGAAGCACGCAGCTGCCTGCCTGGAGCAGGGTTTCGGGCTTGAAGCGATCTTTGCAAAAGGCAGTGATTCACGGTCCGTGAGACATGTTTGACAGCATGGTAGATTAACTAGTGTCAGGAGAGCAGAGGCCACTCCACAGCTTACCGAAGGCTGAACTGCACTTGGGTGGAAAATATGGCCATCCAAACATCTGGCCATTTCCAAGACAATAAAGCAAGGGCTGAGTGACAATATGCAGTATTGTGTTATCCGTCACTCAGTCATAGGAGTTTTCCAGTGAGATTTTAATGAGAACTCAGATGCTTTAAAGAATTTAATAAGTAATGCATTTAAAAGCCTCAGAGAAAAATATATTTTGTTATTACAAAAAAAGGGCAAATTAGAATTAACAGTTGCAATAAAATGAGGTGGAAATTTCCCAGAAAATGATGAACTGTTAGTAGATATAAAGCTGGTGAATTGACAAGTAGGTAGATTTCGGGTGTTGACTTTTTTGGAAAATAATTCTTTTTCAGTTTTCTTAATGGTTATTGGATTGTTTTTTTTCTTATAGCTATTAGAAAAACAGAAAACATACATCTTATAGGATTCTTTATTAATATTTAAACCCATTTGACTTGTAGATTATTTTGTCTCTAGATGTGACATCAACCCAGATTGATTATGATGGGTAATTGTTTCCATGTGACACCTGGTCATTAGCTGTGTTAAAGGAGTAGGTGGTCTTGATTCATTCCCAGAGGTCAGGGGTCTATCACCCAGCCACAAAGAACAGTGTGCATTTTTGTTGACTGCTTCCCGGGCCTGGGGACAGAGTGAGCATTATGGAAATTTAGTTACCCTGAATTAGGAAGGCTACTTCTTAAAGCTAACAATAGCCTAAAACTTCCATGTGTTGAAGTGAGTACATATTCTGTGGTCACGTTCGTTAAATAAGTAATTCAAAGATCTGCTTGCAGATACTTTGATATTGCATGTCCAGGAAATTGCCATTCATTACAGTTAGTTCCTTTTTTGAATAATACTCTACACTAAGTACTCCCATTTGACAGAGGAAGGAAAGTTTAATATGTGTGCTGTGGTAGGAGCCTGCCGCCCCAGCTCAGGAGGCTCCCTTAAGGAGCCCAGAAACTCGCTCCCAAGCCAGCCGAGGGCACCCGGATGAGGGGCAGGGGAGTAAGGTGCCCAGAGTCTCGCATCTGACTGACCAGGCAAACCTCTAGGTGCCCTAACTCTTGAGGGAGAATGGGGAGCCTTCCTGAGCACCAGTTCCCTTACCTGTAACTAACATGGGGTCAACCACTCAAGGGATTTCCTCAGGTTGAGTGAAATTCTGTACATGTTGACACATGGTGATCCATCAGACTCAACAGCTGTCAGAGCTGTTACTCTTTCAGTCAGAACAAGCAACACCCAGAAAATGAAAAGCTATTGTAATGATTCATCCTTTCAATTACATTGAAAGACTAATGTCCTGTATGCTAAAGCTACTACACAGAAGGATAGTCTCTCACAGCTTATAGATTTAGGTGAGGTTCTGATAAGTGAAGGTGTTCAGTTTGTCCAAGGCCTGCAAAAAAATCTGTTGGAAACAAATCCACATATATTAAATATGGTTTTTGTTTATATCCCTCTTTCTGTTGAAATTTTATTTGGCACGAATGTTGGTCCAGAAGAACAAAGTTACTATTTTAAATCACAGCTGATAAACTCCATTTGGAAACCACCCAGGCTGTGAGGAAGCCATAGTAAGAGCTGGTTGCCCTGTAGGTTGAGTAAGGGCTTATGCAGGCCCCGATGCCTCACCTCCAGACTCCTTACCTTACATGGCCATAAAAGCATGATGAGACTCGCCCTCGAATCAGAAATCAGAGTTCTCCTTGTGTGCTTTTCCAAGTTTAAATGGGCTGAATTGTTGCCAGTGACCCGCTCTCTGCCACCATTGGCGCTCTTCCATGCTTGTTTTATAAACTGGTTAGTGCAAATATCCAGAAATGTCTCTTGAGATTGGAGGTGTTGATGGCTTGTCATGCTCAGAAATTCCCTTGGCTTCTGGTCAGGGGTTAAGCTAGGAGAAAAAGGGACTTTGCCAACTTCCTCACTTCTGGCTAACTTGTAAACATAAAGCCATATGCTATCTGAGTAATTAGGACGTTTACCACTCTTGTTTTATTTGGTACTCTAATGTTTTTGATCAATTTCTTATAATAAACACCTTCTTATATTCTCTAAGAAGAGGATTGCGGGGGAGAGAGCTGTCTCTCAGCAGGCTTGACATTCTTATTTGGGTAACAAATGACAAGGCCTGGCACAGTCTTTAAAATGCACACAAACCACACTATGCACACTTGCTTGGAGATCACACTGCTGTAGGCGGTGCTCTGTTCCTCCCAGACTGAGCCCAGAGAGGGAAGGGGAGCAGGAAGGGCAGCAGGGCCCCCTGGGGCTTGTGCTTTCCTACCACAGCCCTGCCACATCCTCACGCAAGATAGGTGATCACACTCCAAGCCTGTTGTAGGAAGGTGGCTCCTTTGACCACAAAGGTCAAGGTTGCATTTGTTCCTTGAGGAAGAGTGAGAGGTAGTTTTATTGTCAAAGTCTAGGTTACCCTGAATGTGGCACTTACAAGCAGGTACCGCCTGAGGTTCAGTAGAGCTACCCGAGGTGGAGCTCCTAGGAACGCACAGGGAATGGCTTCACACGTGCTGTGAGCCCGAGAGCAGCCCATTCTTGGGTCCCGGGGAGTTATTTCCCGTCTGACATGTTAGCGTGTTCTTTGTGTTTTTTACCAGTAGCTTACAGCTCCCTTAAGTCAAATGCAGAAAATAACTACATTTTAACTGAAAGTCCACACCCTACTGTCTACCCATTACAACCGGCTAGTCTGCTATTTTATTTTCACAAGTTCTTTTTGCAGCTTCTCAGAAACATTGTGAGGTCTGTTAGTTGAAGCAGTCTGATGTTTGTGTACATTCAAATTGATTTATTAATTGACTTACATAAAACATACAGTTTCCATCATGGCAGTAAAATTAGGGCCTATCAAGGCAAATGTGTTTCTGTGTTTAACTTTTCTTTCAATTACTTTTATGAAATATAAATCTCTAAGAGAATATTGGCAGGCGTCCACAGTAAAGGGTGGTAAACCTTCGCCTGTGGCCAGAGTGAGTTTGATTTGCAGTATCCAGATTATTAAATTTTCCTTGTCAAGTTTTAGTACTTTTTGAATTGGTTTAGGACAGTTTGTGAACATTTTCAAACAGGAAGATGAGTTTTAACTATCAGACAAATCTTACTTCACTTATCCTACACAGGGAGCCGTTAGGTAGTGGGGAGAGCGCAGCTTTTGGAGTGAAGATATGCTTTTCAGCCATTGGCAGATGGGAATGTAATACCTGGGCCTGAGGCTACGTAGGCAGCGACAGTGTGTGGTGTGTGTTTGAAGGGCTGTAGACAGGAAGCGGTACGTGCAGATTAGTGCTCCTGTCCCTTCTTGTGCTATTTAGAGGACGAGCTGACAGGTTTTTTTTTGGTTTGGTACACTTTTGAAGCCATAATAAGAGCTGTCATAGTAAGTGCCTACTGTGTGCACTGGGCCAGAGGTATGAAGAAGAATCACTCGTCACCTCTGCCCTCCTGGAGCAGAGTGCTTTGGTCACTGCTGTGCTGCATGGTGCAGATGAGGTCTCTGAGGCAATGGAAACCAGTGGCCTGAAGAGCAGGTGTCAGCTCTGCACGGTGTCCAGCCTCCACAGGCCGCTTTTCTCTCCAGGCTCCCCATCCAGGGCCTGGCTCCCTCAGAAAGTGCTGTAGCCAGGGAATAAGTGATTAAGCTAAGGCCGGTCACCTGCAGAGCAGGGACTTCAGCCTCCGTCTCCTGACCACGGAGAAGACCAGTCTCCAGGTAGGTCTGCCCGCCAGCCCTGCCGCCGGTCAGGGGAGCTGCTCTGGAGTGGGAAGCGGGGCAGGAGGGGTCTGTGGCCTTTGCTTCCTTTGCGTCTTAGGGTGTTTGTTTTGTTGTTGTTTGGGATGGATGTGAAGCTTTTCTGGACTCTATTCTAATAATTAAAAGTATATCTGGTTCTCTAGGGCACAATGTATGCTTTAGGACTCGGTCCACAAAATTTGAAAATATCTGAGGTTTCTTAATAAGTTTCTGAATTTCAGGCAACCTTGGGATTTGGATCCAAGTAACTCACACTTTCCTAATCCTAAAGAGGCCGCAGCACAGAGCAATCTAATATTCCTGTGAACTGGCACTCCCCAGCCCCAAGGCATGTGACATTCAGGGAAAACTCAAAAACAGGGCTGAACACATGGATGGGCCACCTTGGCACACTTCTGTCATAATAAATGTTACCATAGGAAGGAGGGTCTCCATCATGGTCTTATTTAGAAAGATATTTGGCAGAGACCAGATGGCCCTCTTGTCTTCCAGCCACAGCAGTTGGGGTCTGGTAGAGCTGTTTCTGGACCCCTTTCCCAGTGTTCTCTTCAGCCCTCGTTCTCTTCAGCCCGCCCGGCTCTGGGCAGCCGAATCTTCTGAAAGCCCTTTAGGATTTTTTTTTTTTTTTTTTTTTTTAAACACATGACAGTACAATGATCTTGACATTTCTTTAGGATTCGTTATTTCTCTCTCCTTCAGGTTTCACATGTCTTTGTACCACATGAAATAAAATATTGACATCATAAACTGTAGGGTTTTTTAAAGTCTTTCGATTTCTGTGCCCTCAGAAACAGACCTTGTTAAAATCTGTGAACAAGTTGGCCACAGTGGCATTCAGAAAGGGAACACAAGAGAAGGGGTAGGAAGGCAGCCCAGAGCTAGAATGCCACTGCAGCCCGAGGACTGGAGGCTGCAGATGAGCCTGGAAGGGCAGTTGCTCCTCTCAGCATGTTACTAGAAGCCAGGGGCATACAGGGAACTGTACCCACTTAACTTGAAGGATTCAGCCATTTACACCCTAAATCTCACATGATACACAGAACTCCGTTAATTTTATATTATCCACAGAAGAAATGATAGAAGCATTTGGAGTCCATTTAAGTGGCCAGTGGAAACATGGCCCCGAGAATTGTTGGGGGCCTTGCACGTCCCACTATCTGTGGGTACCTGGCCGTGTACGTCATATACAAAACCAGTTCGTTGGCTGGCCTTTGAAGGAGCCGGGTGTACCGGAGGGCACTGTTTTGTTCCCTTAGTGGGGAAGGCGTTCACTTTTACTCTTTTAAGTGCAGTTCTCCATCACTGCAAAAGAAATGAAGCATGTGGCTTGAGATCTTGCAGGTGTGCATCCTGCTCCCGAGTGCTCGAGTGCACGTCAGGATGAAGAAATGGCTTTGGCAGGGTTTTGAGGAGTTATGAAGTAACGATTATGAAATCGCCATCTGGTGCAGTCCCATCTCACTGTTTGCTGGGTTTTCTCTATACAGGTGGCTTTGCAGCTGCAGTCACCACCCCTCTGGATGTGGCAAAGACAAGAATCATGTTGGCAAAGGTAAGTAGAAAATAATGTTGTAGAGACACCATACCTGTTGGTGCCAGGTCTTGCAGGTATGTGAAGCAAATAAAAGCACCTGTGAATCATTCTTAAAACTAACATGGAAGTCCCAATGTCCATGGTGATCACTATGACACATGTGTCCTGTGGCGTTTCTCATCTTCTGGTCATTTTTACCTACATTGTGGAGGTAAATAGGTCTGAAGGCCTTAGCCTTGAATCTTATTTTCAAATCTGTTTTTCCTGGTGACAGGCCTAAGGCCCTGAAAGGCTGATAGCTTCATACCTTGTGGCAGCTAAGCTGTGGGCTCTGAACCTGTGCAGTGTTTTAATCAGATAAAACCCTTATCAGAGTTGCTACAAAACAAAACAAACAAAACTGTAAAAAAGAAAAATGGTTGAAAGAAGAAAAAGCTAGACAGAGTTCAAGAAATGCCATACGAATAACAGATCTGGACCAAAACAGTTTTGTTTTTTTTTTTTTTTAAAGTCCCATCCTTGTGAAACAGATGTGAACAGAACAGAGCTGTAGCATTTAGGTGGAGAGGACCAAACCTCGAAAAGTGGCTCAGGTTTAAGTTGAACTCGATGCTCTTTCCCTTGATATTTTTTCCCCTTTCCCCTCATATCCTCTTATATGTAATTTTGTATAACAGTGAGGGTCACCTTCCATTTCCATGCAATTTCCCTTCAGTGTGTTTCGTGGCCAGTTGGGCAGCTTTCTTAATTACACTGTTTACTCTGGTGACTCCCGTCCTCCTCAGATCAAGTGACTTTGCTTCCAGTCTTTCTCCTATTAAATAGTAATGTGTGTCAGCTCTGAAAAGCCACCCCCCTGGGGTGGCCTGGGCCACATCACTGCTTGCCTGTGAGACTGAGTATAAGCACTGTCAGGGGAGCGAGACCCAGTCCTGATTCCGGAACAGCTCTGTCCTGCGTGAGGGTGGGGATGAGGCACGCATTTGAGGACATCTGGGAGTCGGCGACCTTAGGCACAGGCAGCAGGTAATTAAGTTCTTTGTCTTTTCCTGCAGGCTGGTTCCAGCGTAGCCGGTGGCAACGTGCTTTCTGCCCTGCGTGGGGTCTGGCGGTCACAGGGGCTGGCAGGGTGAGGACAGCGCGAGTGCTCGGCTGCCTCGCTCCGCTCCACCGGCCCGGCCCTTCCTATCTGCCTTCCACAGGACGGACCTTTCCTTTCTTCTGCTTATGGTTATGTCCTGGTCCAGGTCCTGTTTTTCACATCGTACAGGATGTTCTGTTTGCTGTTGCACATGTGAAAAAATAACATGGCTCCGTCGAGTCAGTGCAGTGTCCTGGCCAGATGCTTCTCAGTCTGGTCAGTCCTGGTGTTGGATAGCATTGACTGTGCTGCTAGCAGGCCAGCATCTGGGCTGCAGCCCCCAAGAAATAAGCTCCCGGTTGCACAATGCAGAAATGCAGGAGAGTGAGGGGAGCATTGTTGCAAGAAAGCATTTGTGGTTTTTGTACTTTTAACTTATTAGCAGCACATTCTAGTCATACCTCCATGGGGTCATTTCCTGTGTTGATATGCGATTTCTATCATTTGTTGTTTTGTTGGGAGGTGATTTTGTTGTGAGGCAAACATAAGTGTGCTCCGCAGATCTGAATGGCGTCGCCTGACCCCCACCCAGGCTGTGTGGCAGTCTGTCCCTCCTAGGCTGCACGCCACACCACCACCTCAGCGAGTGCTGCAGGCAGCTGTAGGAAATAGCCGCATCTCCAAACATTTAAACATCAAAAGGAGCAATAAAAATACTAGGTGCTAGTGCTTTTCCAGCTGCATCGTAATCTCCTGGGACCACCGCCACACTCGGTCCCTGCCAGCGCTGCCTTGTAGCGCATGACTGTACTTTCAAATTTCCCACGCAGTTGAGAGTCGTTGTTCTGTATTGTTGGCCAGGCACCTCAGGCTTTTTAGCTTCACATCCCAAACAAACAGGCTCTCTCTTCAAGATGTTGTTCCAGCATTCCTTTCACAATATAAATTTATGAATCTTTATAAATATTGGGATCTTACAAATAAGTCAAAATACAACTTTCTCTTAGGAGTCCACTGCCAGGGTTCATAGACCAGGGTGTTACCTGGAACCCCAGCTACTTGGGAGACTGAGGCAGGAAGATTGCAAATTCGAGCACAGCCTGGGCAACTTAGTGAGATCCTGTCTCAAAATAAAAATAAGAGAGATGCGGTGTGGCTCGGTGGTAGAGCACCCCTGGGTTCAATCTCCAGGACCGGAAAAAAAAAAAAAAGCAAACAAAACCAAACCTAAGCAGTGCCAGAATTTATAGGCAAAGAAATGGTATCAAAAACAGGCCAAGGGCTGGTCTCTGTTCTCGAGCCCAGTTTCAGTCCTGAAAAGGTACTGTGGCTTTCCAGCTCGTCTTCTGCACACCCTTGAAGTGAAAGGCTGTAGTTAGTGTGCAGAGTGGCCTTGGGGAAGGTGCCCTAGGCAGCAGAGGTGTTCACTTAAGATGCCCTGTATTAATACGATAGAAGACAACAAGAAATTTGACCAAAAAACAAATGAAAGGAAAGACACTGGCCCTGGGCATGGTCAGCCCTGAGGGTGGCTGAGCCTGCTTGCTCTGTCCTGTTTGCACCCACAGCCCAGTTCGCCCAGTTCCCACCTGCCTCCCCCTGGGGTGAGTGCTGCTGCCCTCTCGTGGCGGGTTCAGGTGGTGGCCACCTTCCCTCCGTGTAGGCAGGCTTGCACAGGAGATTCTGGCATGTGTCTGGAATGTGTGCCCTAGAGCAACCGTTTCCCCTAGGTGAAAGTCCTAGGTTATGAAGCAGCAGCTGGGAGTCCTGCCTGCTGTGGACCCGCCTGCTGCCTCTTCTGTTGGTCAGCTGCTGTGGTTGTCCTTTATGTAATAATGGCTGAAGCTGGGAGCATGGTCTGTGATCTGTGGTCCCTGGACCACACCCTTCCCTTTGGCTGGGGTGCTCACGTTCAGATCACTTTTAAGGCTGCAATTATGTCCTTAGATTCAGTTGTCATTTTGCGAAACCATAAACTACCTCCAAATGCCTCTGACCAGGGGCAGCAGAGCTTGTTAGTGGCAATCGCGGGACTAGATACTGGCTTAGAAACCAGGAAGATGGTGAGGGAGGAGTCAGTGGCCAGTGTGGTTTCCCGTGCCTTTCTCCCCAGCGCCCTTCTTCTTTGCAGGGCAGGACCAGGGAGATGAGTCCATTTTCAAGCCAGGACACAGTGGCCTCCAAAGCAATCATTCAGAGTTTCTGCCCCACCACACACCTCATGCAAAACCTATGTGCATGATACTGAGCTGAGTGTCTTTTGATCTTCTAGTGAATTTTCATGTTGCCTTCAGGCAGTAAAGGAGGATTTCTTTTTTTAATGTGTAGTATTTTATTTAATAATTTAAACCTGGAGTTAGCTAACTAAAAAGTGCCCCCTTTTCCTCAGAGGTGTTAAATGCTGTCCCGGGGAGGCTGGTGGACCTCTCTGGTTAGTGCAGAAGGGAGCAGCCAGGGGCTGAGGGCATCCAGCAGGGATTCCTTCCTGTCAGCCACCAGTGGCTCATCACGGGGGTCTCCCCATATCTTCAAAATGCACAGCTGCTATTGGCACAGGAGGTTCAGCTTCCTGCCCTAGCCCCAGGTGTCCTCACTAGTCTACTAGCATAGCCGCCATTTCTGGTTTTGTTGTTTTTCCTGTGAACAAAAGTACTCCTCTTGGTAAAAGGGTCCAGAGGTTATAGAAAAACGGGCAGGGCAGTCTGTCACCTTCACAGCAAGCAGCTGTTGGCCTCCCTCCCAAGTTCTTTGGTCACCACGTGGTCACATGACTTGTTTTTTCAATACCTACATGTAAATATTTTGAGTGGTGCCTGTGGCCTGCCTCGTCCTATCAGCTGCCTGCAGTAGACCGCGTTTCTACGGCTGTGATCCAGGGAACCACACCAGGGTCACTGCAGCCTTTCTTTTCTCAGCAGCAGTGTCACTGTGGACATACTTGAAGAAATACCTGTGTGACCAGGGGAGGTTTTAAAGAATGACCTGTGGAAGGTTCCCAGGGCCAGCTCTTGTGCCTGAACTATTCACAATTGCACGGGTGGCCCAGGCCCAGGGACTATATGCGTGATGCTGCTCCCCCGCCCCCCAAGCCTGTTACCCTTTCATGTCTGGTATTAAAAGAAAACATCCGGGATCCCTGGAGGGTCTCTGAGCACAAAGTGAGTGAGTGATGGCAAGAGCTGCCCTCCCTGAGGGTGACCCCAGAGGCCAGCCTGGCCTGGGAGTCAGTCCTAGGACTCCTTGTACAGGGGTCCTCTTCTCCGTCTCAGAAGCTCCTCAAGAGCGCGGCTGTGGGACAGGCGCCCTGCCTTTGCCTGGTGCTCAGAGGACCCTGCCCCCCCCCTGGGGTGCTCAGGGGTAAGCCGGTGTCCCGCCATAGCCGCCCGCGGGCAGCTGGCCCAGCTCCCAAAGCTACTGGGGATGTCCTTGAGGGCTGTTTCAAAAAGGGTCACGCGGGGCCTGATGAGCAGGTGCTGAGCCACGCACGCCGTGGGTGGGGGTTCAGCCAGCTGGACACAGGCTCACTGTGACTGTCCTTTCCTCTAGGTTATTTGCGGGTGTCTTCCCTCGGATGGCCTCCATCAGCCTGGGAGGGTTCATCTTTCTGGGTGCCTACGACCAGACTCGCTGCCTGCTGTTGCAAGTGGGCAGAGAGGGTTCCTAGCGGACACCACTCACGCACATCCATGAAGAAGTGGGAGCACGGAACCTGTGCTGAAGCCCAGAGCTGCCCTCACTGTGACCCTGAGGCCATGGTACCATGGTCAGGCCGGCTGCAGTTGTCCTCAGTGTGCCACAAAGAAGAAAGTGCGTCATGGTGGGACTCTGAAGGGACCCTCAGAACCCTTAATAAACGCGCCTGGCAGTGCCGGGGAGCTTGTGTTTGATCTGTATCTGATCTTCCATTTCCTGCCACCTGATGGTGGAGGCCGCAGGCGGCAGGATGGTTACAATTTGAAAAGAATGACAAGATGGGGGGAGGGGTTGTGCATGTGGGTGTTTGTCCCTGGGGTCAGTCCCCGTGGTGGAAGGTTAGGGCTGTGTTCAGAAAGCACCCCCCCACCCCTGCTCAGTCACTCTTCCTGGTAACCAGGGGCTGTGTCCCATGACCCTCAGGTGGCACCTCCAACAACACATGATCCTAGTATTTTATAGAAGTGTCTGGTGACCCTGTGGTGTGTGAGAGGCAGCGGGCATCTGCAGCCCAGGGGCTAAATGGGGGCACGCAGTCCCTCAGGAAGGCCGAGCCCTGCTCCATGGCTCTGCCTCCAGGCTGAGACGGGGCCTGGGCCAGCGCTGGGGACAGCAGGGCTTCCTTTTTCTTAGTGGGGTCATGGCCTACAGTTGCAAGCTCATCCCTGGAAGGCGCACAGATGAGCTGGAAAGGTCACCATACTTGGGGATTTTAGGGCTTGACTAACGAAGTCCACGTGTAGAAAAATTCAGAGAGAAATCTTAGGAATCTAGCAGTGTCATGTCTGCCCTGGAGCCACAGAACATGATCCTGCCTTGCCTAAATTTTCCCGTTTGGGGAAAAATATTAAAAGCAGAGCGACTGCATTGACCAGGGAATCTCTGGAAAGGAATGAACGCACCCAGCCATATGCTCAACACTTATAAATGAACCTTTATTAAAGACACATCAATGCCATTTGTTAGACACTTCAATATTTTACACGTTTTCAATGTACATTGTACCAAAATTTCTATAAATAAATAACTTTGTACATAAAAGTAATACTTCCTCTTTCACATTGCCTCTCAGAAGCAGCAAATTCACATATTTTGTGGAAGTAACATTTATCAGTTAACCGTTGAGGACAAAACTAAATGTGCTTACCTTCTGGAACAATGATGACCTCTGACAGGAACATCTGACACAGGTAGCCATTTGGCTAATATCTCCCTTCAGCTTTTTGGCTAAAGAAATGTACTTTGAGTTTTTTTAAGGACCTTATTTGTTTCAATGTAATTTTCAGTGAATTACACATTGGCACTCACAAGACGGTTAGCTACAGGTCTCAAAAGTGCAAACACACCCAGATCTAGGGCTAAATCTGACGAAGTCCATGCCCAGTCCCCGCTGTGTGAGGAGAGGGCGTGGACGGGCCTGCTCAGGCTCCTCAGTAGACATGAGCTAGCCCTGGAAGGTGAGAACTTAATCTTTTTTACCCCCAATGTAATATTATATTGGCAGAATTAAAACGTCACTATTGAAAAATCCACAGGTACCAACACCAGCAGCCTTTGCCTTAATAAAAAGCCTCAGCTAACAATCTGGCGACACGGACAAGACCACATTTGCTTTTAACTAAAAGTGAGCTTCAGAGAAGGGAGAAAGGCCTACTGTCCTGACCCATGGCTTGTGGTGGATTAGCAACCTTCACCCCTCAAAGAAGCAGCCTCCAGGGAAAAGCCCCTCACGGCAAAGGCACATTGCAGGAGCCACCAACGCAGGCCGAACGTGACTGCGAAGGGCATACAACACCAAGGACTCCCCGTCCTTCCAAACCCACACAGGAGCCTCGGGAAACGAATGTGGCTTTTGTCTCTAAATTCCCGCCATGCACTAAGGCACCAGAACTATTACCGACCCCTCTCCAAGGAAACAGCAACCTGATAGGAAAATAATATTGTCAAAATTGTATAGTTCTGTTGTTAACCATGCACTAAGGATTAAAATAGCCTCTGTCAAAGATATATAATATATAGGAAATCTCTGGAAACTCTTATGTACAACCGTATCAAATACTTTTTCTGCCTTTTGTACACAAATAGCCTCTTGCATTTCTGTGCTTCAGATGCGAGTCCTCTGCTCGGCTCATGCTCCACACGGAAGTGACAACTATGTACAGCTCAGCAACGCTGACCCCAGGCCGCCTCTCGGCCTCTCCTGCCTCTCCTTCCCGTGGACACTGGTGTGACAAGAGCTGAGGTAGACAGAGCCTAGCTTGTGGGCGCCGACAGCAGTGGTCCCCTCCGTTTCCCAGGGAGCTGTCCTGTCAGTGGTGTGGACTCTGGACTGGAGTCACACGCCTGGGGGAGGTGGCCATTGGAAAGGAGCAAGTGCTGGGCTTCGATGGGGACAGCAGGAAAGGCCAAGGAGGCCTCTGGGAGCTCCGTGCTGCCTGAAGGGAACGCAGGGCAGGGCTGCAGGTCTGCGGGGTCCGCGTCACACAGCCTCGCTAGAGTCCAGGCGGAGCCCCCTGGGGAGAGAGAAGGCCGTCAGAGCCGAGTTCCAGCATGACCAGCTGTGGCAGCCAGTGCAGCTGCCAGGGAGGCCAGGAGGACAGTAAGGGATCACCTTTTCCATCTAGGGACACCGCCGGCTTCCTCAAGGATGTCAGCATTCTGTCATGGTTGCTGGGGTAGAGGGACCCGTCCCCGGCCCCACGGCGAGGATGATGTGGAGAGTCACCTCGGTCGCCCTGGCTGGGATCCTGGCCACGCAGTGCACTTGGCTGTGTGCTGTCCCTACATGTGGGCTGAGGGTGGGGGGCCTGCTCCTTGGAGTGACTGTCCACGTCAGCATTGCAGTCACTGCACACCAGAGGGCCACTGGGTTCTGAAGGAGAGATGGGCCAGGTCAGAGCCACCCCCACAGAACAGGCCGCCCACCTGCACCCAAGTGGGGTCCTGCCCCCCGGCCCTGCAAATGCCCCCTCCCCAAAGACCTTCACCAAAAAGGCTGGGCACACGCCACGCCGTTGGTGGAGATGGGGTCCTTCATGCTCACATGCCCCAGATTAAGCTAATCTTGTACTTAGAGAATGTAGTCACGCTACTGTGATCACAGACAAAAAAAAATAGAAAAAAGAAAAACCCCAACAGTTGAATTAGGTACCATGCAGGGTTAAGAGTTTTCTGAACAATTAGAAATTTAACCTCAAAACAGCCCTGGTGAACAGATACTAAAACCCTCTATGTTGCTTATTATTCTGGAAAATTTTTGCTCAGGTTTACTGTACCATAAATAGTAACTAAGAGACACACTCTTCTAGAATTAAAAGGGCACCAGGCCAGAGCTTCCTGTTTATATACTAAATACCAAACTCAGAGAGTGCTAGACGGAAATGTAGGCGTCTCCTCTCTTCATTTAGTGAGTGGGTCAACACAGATCTTGATTTCAAAAAGGCATTGCTTTTCCTGGTGGAAGCATCACCTACCCATCTTAGGTGGACCAGGTGTCCCAGTGGCTTTTTCTGTCACTTTCCAGGGCTCTTTACTGTACCCAACGCAGAGCTTGGGCTGCCTCCGCGTGATGCTGTGGACGTCAACCTCTGGGAAGAGGCCTGCATCTCTCAGACACACACCTGCAACAGATCCCCGGGTTAGAAACTGCAGAGGACGTCTCAGTGGGCCTGAGGAGCAGGACGGGTGGGGCTGCTGCTGTAGTCTATCAGTGGTGGGTTACCACTGTGCCACCACGAAGCTGGCAACGGGCCTGCTTCTAGTACCACTTCCCCAGCAAGCAGCCCTTGAGCAGCCATGTTAGAGGAGCAGTTGTCTCAGGCCGGCCTTCAGCTCAGCAAGCGCTCACGGATCTCCCACCAACTGAAACAGCACCCCCTGCACAGAGCTTTCCCTGCGAGTCTGGAATACAGAGCAGGTGTGGGCACTGCCCCTGCACTCGCATCCCTTGGTACCTTCGTGGTGCCAGAGCCCCACACAGATCCCAAAATCCAGGGATGCTCAAGTCCTTTGTATACAATGACACACCATTTGCACATAACCTAAATACACCGTCCATTGTAAGTCACCTCTAGATTAAGCATCGTGACTAGTAAAACGTAACTTTGTGTACACAGCTGTTGGACTGTGTTTTTAGGGAATAATGACAAGGAAAAGAGGGCTGCCTATTCGTCACCTTCTCTGCCCTGGATATTTCTAGTGTGTAGGTACTCGAACCCACAGATACCAAGGGCCAACTGTGCAAGCAGGGGCTTGGTTTCGGGGCCTGGGGTGTCCGTTGCAGCTGTTTCTGACAACAGTCCTGTCTTATCCCGACTGGGAGGCTTACTGCTAAGCCCAGATGGTGACTTTCCTGAGAGACAGGATGTTGAAACCTCTGCCGAGCTTGCACAGACCAGGACTGAGCTGAACAGCAGACGCCTGGGTCAGCAGCCGCCTCGCTCACCTGACGCTCCCTCCCCATCCAGTGCCAGACACCTGAATAGGGAGCTACAGGCCACCTCCACCTACGGGGTCAGTCACCTAGAGCTCCACCTCACTGTCAGAGGCCTTACCGTTGCTCTCGATGTGCCCGTTGGCCCGATGGCCACCCTCAGTCCTGACCACAGTTTCTTGCCGGTCAGAAAGGGTCCCCTGAGAAGAGAGGTAGCTTGGAACATCTGGTGGCACAATGGTTTCATCTGCAAGGAGATAAGACAATGAAACATCAAGGTTCAGCGACAACAGATGCAGATGTGCATTCACCGTCAGGCCCCAAACAGGATCCCCTGGCAACAGCCATCGAGGCTGCGCAGAGGCCAGGTGGAGTCAGTGCAGGTAGAAGGCCCTCCCAGACCAGAGCCGAACCTGAGCCCAGATCAAAAGCATGTGAGACCACAAAAGACGGGGAAGAGTGACAGGAAGGGAGACAGAACTAGCAAAACCACAGCACTGTAAGGTGTCAGAGACAATCCACCTCCGCTTACTTACGAGGAGGACATCAGCAGGAAGTTCTTTTTTTTTTTTAGTTGTCAATAGACCTTTATTTTATTTGTATGCTGTGCTGAGGATCGAACCCTGTGCCTCACTCCTGCCAGGCAACTGTGCTACCGCTGAGCCCCAGCCCCAGCCCAAGACAGTTCCATTTCTAGCTCTGCCCTGAGTATGAACCCAGTGTCCGCAGGACCGAGGCTTCAGTTCTCCAGAACCACATTCC